CATTTACACAATCATTTTTATTCTCTCCATCTCTCCACAATCACAATTATTCTTCACTCCTATTTGTCACGCACACAACATAAGAACCAAATTTATATTTTCTCCTACAAAACACCTTCCTCGTGGGATCAATAACTTTTTATACTATAACTTGACACGGTTGTGCACTTGAGGAGGAGGCCTAGATAACTTTTGTGATCAGGAGGAGGCCTAGATAACTTTTGTGATGGGGGGCTTCTTGTTGGTGAAACCCCAGACGTCGATGCTTTGCTCCTTGGAATTTGACAAAATCATGGATCCCTCTTGGGGATTCCAAGGATAGCAACGACCAGACCATCCTGTGAATGGAGGAGCCTTCTTTTGTAGGGAGAGTACGAGTCGCATGCTTCAACCACCAGTTCTTCCTTTGACTTTGGCAATCATCAGGTGGTCCTTCGAGTTTTTCCTGCAATCTCATCCTTGGAGTGGAAGGACTCTCCTTAAAAGGTGGTGATGGTCCGAGGAGCCTGTCACAGACTTAATCACTGCTCCTTGCTCGTGTGAGCTATCGTCGACATGAGCTTCAGCAATACTGGATCTGATCATAACCCTTGTTGAAGGCAGGGTTCTGTTTTGTGATCCAACCCCAGGCTTCTTGGCTGTCCTGGCGGTAGGGTTTTTATTTGTGGCGGTGATAAGAAGCCTGCGCTTCATTCTCAAGCCAGACAAGCACCATAGTGGTGTGTCTTTTCTAGGAGGGCTTTCGGGGTTTCACTTGGCAAATACTCCCCAGAAAGCTGTTAGAGCCCTCGAGGGCTACGCATATGTTGGCTCCTCATAGCCATAGGCTAATTCTCCTTGGCTTGAATGATGCGATTTCAGGCTTTGTTTAGCTTGAATGGTGCGATTCCAGCGATATTTTTCAAGACTAGATAAGATCAGGCCCTGCTCAGAATTGGGCATGTCTTCTTAGAGAAGAGAGTGAGCCCTACGGTGGGCGCCAAACTGTTGATGTCTGATAATACACAGTCAAGGGGGGGTTCCACCGTGGGAGGCAGTCATGATCTCCATGCTGACGGTGAAGAGGGAGAGGATGAAAGGTGGGGCTGACTCGTCCTCCGACTTTATGCCTGATCATTGGATTGAGATTCCTGATCTTTCTGCGCAAACAAGAAGAAGAAACCCGTAAGAGGGCGGGGACCGGTTCCCCCGTGGTACCTCCGACGGTCAAGTCAGCTGATGAGCTTGAGTGGGGTTTGAGAGAAGATCCGAGGATCATTGAGGTTCTAATATTCATCACTCTTATTGAGTTTTCAGAAGAAGACATGTTTTTTAGAATTGTTTAGAGTTTAAGAAAAAGGTTCAGAAGTCTCCCCTGAGTTCAAAGTTTCGTCCCCCTTTTCTTTCTCCCCTTACCTCCTTTTATAGTCTCTTACCTCTGAGATTTGACCTTTGGCTTTAACTATGCACAGGAGGGCGGTTGAGGGGTGAGCAGACACGTCGCTGAGTCATCATTTGCTTTACAGATAGCGGCTGACGACTGGAGGGGAAGTCATTCGAGCACAGGAGAGGGCGTCTTGGAAATATCTCATATTCGATAGATGAGACAGAACGGAGGATAGACCGACTGTTTGGGCCTCCTTCCCTTGCCAGATGGCGGGTGACGACTGGAGGGGAAGTCATTCGAGCATAGGAGAGGGCGTCTTGGAAATATCCTAAATTCTATTCTTATAAAAGCATAGTTATGGATAAATATGTTTAAATAAATCAACTTATTCTTACTTAATGAATTAGTATTTGAATTCCAATGGTAATTTTGTCTACCGAAAGATTTTCTTGAACTCGTGCTTTTAAAGGGAGTATGATATGAAGAAAAATGACTTAGAATCGGTGATTTCGTAGTTAAATTTGAACTAATATTAACCAAATCCACGTTGGGGTTTAAGATAATCATAAGGAAAATAATCAATTATCAATATTTGATATAAATCAAAGCAACATTGGTATGATTAGAATTTTTGTAATAATAAGGAGATTACATTTTATTAATTTCATAATTATCATGCTTAATGATTACAATACTCTAATTTTAAAGTTGTTGATACATAGACATGTATATATGTAAATTATTAAATTCCTTTCATTCAGTGAATAATTGACGAGTTAAATTTTTTTTGAAGAATCTTCATTGCGAATATCAAACATTTTGTGCTATAATATTTTTGTTGGGATCAAGATAACCAATCCCTTACTTGTGAGAACCTGTGAGGAAATTAAAATAGCAATCGCAGCAGCAAACAATTCAAAAATAACGAGACAACCGATTTTTAACGTGGAAAACCTCCTCGATGTGAGGAGTAAAAACCACGGGACCATAGTCCACCCAAAAATCCACTATAATGAATAAACTTTGGGTTACAACATCCACTCTAAGTTCTCAACAAATAAGAGACACAATACAAGATTCCAGGTTCAACAACCAATCTCAAATCAAACAAATTCCAACAAGAGACCATAACAAGAAAACCAAAACTTAGGCTGTACGAAAACTCTCGGTTCACAAGGATTCCGGTAACCAAATCAAATCTCCACCGTTCAAATCCTAGAACCACAAGTTTAAAACGTACCTTCAAAATTTTAGATCAATCAGAGAATAATTTACCGTTCGATTATCCAAACGATCAGAACAATGCAGAAGAAAACGTTCTCTGCACCTATGGAATGATCAACTTCAGTAAAACCTCGATATCTCCAAACTCAACCGATAGAAACCAATCTCCACCGTTCAGAATTGAGACCAACTAGTGTAGAAGCTACCCTCTAAACTTTACACCAATCGGATGCATCCGATCGACACTCCGATCACAGCTGTGCGAAAAGTGACTTTTTCTCTTCTCCCTTCTTTTCTCTCAAACGAATTTGTCTCTCACCTTCTAATTTTTAGCACACTGATTATTTATCCTAATCAGAAGCTAATTTGACAAATTTACCCTCAAACCACATAGAAAACCGAGACATATTTTAATGTATATTTTAGTTATCCAACCAGAATCAAAATACCATTTGGTTTCCTCCACTAGGAGAAAAACCAACAATTTTGTGCCATAAAATAGATATCGAGTACAATGTTTATATTATCGAGTATAATGTTTCTAATTTTATTGAAAACTATTGTAAGGAAGTTTATTTTATTATTAATCCATAAAATTTTTACGAATTTAACTATTGATTTTATAATTTTTTTATGCAGTGACACTATTTGTAGGCAACAATAATATGAGAAAAAAGAAAAATCAAAAGAATCCGAATAAAAAAAAAACGAAGGCCACTTTTGCAATTTACAATGGTTTTGGGCCTACAAGGTACAAGGTGCTATCTGCAAATAAAACCTTTCCATTTCGGTCATCCCTCTCATTTGTAACGTTACCAACAAAATCCGAGAAAAATCCCCAGCCAGAAACTTTCCCCAATCAACCCCCGGACAGAAACCCTAACCCCCGTTCGTAGTTAAATTTGAACTAATATTAACCAAATCCACGTTGGGGTTTAAGATAATCATAAGGAAAATAATCAATTATCAATATTTGATATAAATCAAAGCAACATTGGTATGATTAGAATTTTTGTAATAATAAGGAGATTACATTTTATTAATTTCATAATTATCATGCTTAATGATTACAATACTCTAATTTTAAAGTTGTTGATACATAGACATGTATATATGTAAATTATTAAATTCCTTTCATTCAGTGAATAATTGACGAGTTAAATTTTTTTTGAAGAATCTTCATTGCGAATATCAAACATTTTGTGCTATAATATTTTTGTTGGGATCAAGATAACCAATCCCTTACTTGTGAGAACCTGTGAGGAAATTAAAATAGCAATCGCAGCAGCAAACAATTCAAAAATAACGAGACAACCGATTTTTAACGTGGAAAACCTCCTCGATGTGAGGAGTAAAAACCACGGGACCATAGTCCACCCAAAAATCCACTATAATGAATAAACTTTGGGTTACAACATCCACTCTAAGTTCTCAACAAATAAGAGACACAATACAAGATTCCAGGTTCAACAACCAATCTCAAATCAAACAAATTCCAACAAGAGACCATAACAAGAAAACCAAAACTTAGGCTGTACGAAAACTCTCGGTTCACAAGGATTCCGGTAACCAAATCAAATCTCCACCGTTCAAATCCTAGAACCACAAGTTTAAAACGTACCTTCAAAATTTTAGATCAATCAGAGAATAATTTACCGTTCGATTATCCAAACGATCAGAACAATGCAGAAGAAAACGTTCTCTGCACCTATGGAATGATCAACTTCAGTAAAACCTCGATATCTCCAAACTCAACCGATAGAAACCAATCTCCACCGTTCAGAATTGAGACCAACTAGTGTAGAAGCTACCCTCTAAACTTTACACCAATCGGATGCATCCGATCGACACTCCGATCACAGCTGTGCGAAAAGTGACTTTTTCTCTTCTCCCTTCTTTTCTCTCAAACGAATTTGTCTCTCACCTTCTAATTTTTAGCACACTGATTATTTATCCTAATCAGAAGCTAATTTGACAAATTTACCCTCAAACCACATAGAAAACCGAGACATATTTTAATGTATATTTTAGTTATCCAACCAGAATCAAAATACCATTTGGTTTCCTCCACTAGGAGAAAAACCAACAATTTTGTGCCATAAAATAGATATCGAGTACAATGTTTATATTATCGAGTATAATGTTTCTAATTTTATTGAAAACTATTGTAAGGAAGTTTATTTTATTATTAATCCATAAAATTTTTACGAATTTAACTATTGATTTTATAATTTTTTTATGCAGTGACACTATTTGTAGGCAACAATAATATGAGAAAAAAGAAAAATCAAAAGAATCCGAATAAAAAAAAAACGAAGGCCACTTTTGCAATTTACAATGGTTTTGGGCCTACAAGGTACAAGGTGCTATCTGCAAATAAAACCTTTCCATTTCGGTCATCCCTCTCATTTGTAACGTTACCAACAAAATCCGAGAAAAATCCCCAGCCAGAAACTTTCCCCAATCAACCCCCGGACAGAAACCCTAACCCCCGTTAAAACCAATCTCCCATCAAAATTCGCTCCTTTTCCCTCAAAATTCCCCAGTTAAATTCAATTTCTTATGAGAATTAAACCCTATAATCATCGCCAATGTCAATGATCCCCGAAATCATCGTCCCCGATCGCGACCCCTCGATCTCATCGCCCACGATCTCTAGATCCGTCACCGAGACCGTGAATGGGTCCCACAAGTTCGTGATCCAGGGCTACTCGCTTGCCAAAGGGATGGGCATCGGCAAGCACATCGCCAGCGACACGTTTACAGTTGGCGGATTTCAATGGGCGATCTATTTTTATCCTGATGGTAAGAATCCAGAGGATAATTCGGCCTATGTGTCGGTTTTTATCGCGTTGGCGAGCGAGGGGACGGATGTTAGGGCTTTGTTTGAGTTGACGCTCGTTGATCAGAGCGGGAAGGAGAAGCACAAGGTGCATAGCCATTTCGATCGCTCGTTGGAGAGCGGGCCGTATACGCTCAAGTATAGGGGGAGCATGTGGTAAGTTTTTGGTTGAGTCGATTAGGTTTTTGGTGGATTTGTTTGCTTTTCCGGAAAAAGTTTGCTTTCTGATAGCTTTGGCTGGTAGTTTTTGTTTTTGTCGAATGCATGCTATAAATTAGCCTGAATATCAAAAGAAGAAAGACATTGCCTGAACATGCTGAAACAAATTGCATAATGATTAAAGCTTTAATTCATGTTTCATGCTATGAGCCTGTGGTGAAGTGATGGACGTAGAAAAGTAAAACAGCGTCTTTAAGGGTGAGATTTAATTTGGATTTGTTCCAAGCCCACTGATTTTTTTTTCTAGTTACAATAAGAAATAGGTGTTAGAATTTAGAAAAGTAGCAGTTTTCATGTAATCCTTAATAGCTTTGAGAAAAGTTATCATGAAACTAAGAAGTAATATGTCCGCTGCTAAGGGAAAAAAAGTAGATAATGCTATGTTAAATTATTTAGGACATGCTTATGAGTTGCTTGAAGGTGTTGTTTGTTGTAAGGAATGTAATACCAAGGAAGACAAAAGATCCAGACTTCCAGTATTGTGCAGCATTTCCTGAATATACAAATGTAAAGTAGCACTACATCTTGAGAGGATAAATGCACTTTCTTTACTTTGAAAGAATTGTTAGTCACAAAAACCGGCAATTTCTTTGTGAAGGCCTCAAATCCGCTGATAATCCATGCTAGACCCTCGTCTGCTCCTAAGTTTCAAATGTTAATGAGAAATCCATAAAAAATTTCTTGTGAATGAAAACCTGCAGTTTCTTCATCAAAAAAAGAAAAAAAAAACCCATGCAATTTCTAGGAAAACAAGCAATTAAAAGCTGTAACCACGAGAGTCCCATGCCTATGCATTCCAAATGCAGGTAGCATCAAATTTCTTCTCCATATGACTAAAATTGGATCTTTCTACTCTCTAGATACCAAATCCTTATGAACACTAACAAATTGCTAGTGTTGTGAATGCTATTGAAAACTGATCCTCTTTGAATATGGATAAGATTGAAGTCTGCTACACCAATAAGTTCATTTACCTTGCGGCTAGATTTATTCCTAACCATCATCATGCTGATTGGGGGTGTTATCCTATAACTTATCTCTAAAACTCGAAAAGGGTGGATATAGTTATCCACCACATTGTAGACAGAAGAGGATAGGGTAAAGATATAGTATTTATTTTTTAAAATTGCTGAAACACATTATTGACTACGTTACAATTTTGTAAGGAGTTTGTCTACAGCAAGACCAGAGTTTAAAGTAGAATTTATTGCGATAGGTATGTATTGTGCTTTGAGGCCTAAAGCCTGTACAAGGCAGGGGTATGGCATATGGTTGATTCGGCTAGAAAGTAAGACATTTTTTTGGCAGACAATTGTTTGAGGTTGACAATAGTATCTACTTATGTATGGCGGATATTGATGTCAAGGGAGAAAGGGGGCAGGGTCCCATGTCAGAGAAGGAAAGATTTATGGACTAAATAGAGAACACTCTTATGGATGAAAGATTGTGTACATGCATGTTAATTTAAGCTACATATTAAACAACATGCCATCGCGACATTTACTAGATGTTAGATACTGATGACTTGACATAGGATGTCTTGGGGTTCTTTGCAGACTTGATGGGTCATGGGCAAGTCTTTTTTTTTTGGGGGGGGGGGGGGGGGGTGGGNTGGAGAATAGTAGATGAAGAAGTTAATAGTCCTTAATGGGTGGAAAGTGAGACTTTTTTTTGTGAATTTTTTTATATATTTGGAATGGTATATGGGTGGAGAGAGCAGATGACGAAGTTAATAGTCCCTAAGGGATTTTCTTACAATGGCTAAATCATGTTATGGACTCTTGAATTTGTAACTTCTTTTGCATCTGGTCATCAGTAGATGGAATGAAAACTCACATTTGTCGCAACTAAGAATTGAAACTTTGTGTGCTAGTTTAGTTACAACATGATGTTAATCAAAGTACTATTATAGGTGTCTTTGGAAACTGAGCCTTTTACTTTGTTTTAGTCTCAATAGTTATGTTTTTTTTTCTGTCAGAAAACTTTACATCTGCTATAGTTGATTGGTTACAGTTAATCTTGGGTGTGGGAGCTGCAATGAACCTGCTTATAAAATCTTATGCAGTTAAATCTACTGGAATCATATGGGTGGATACAACAGATGAAAATAATGATTTCCTAATATTTTTTTGGTTGAATACTTTTCAAGTGTATTTTGTTGGTTATCAATGACAAACACTGAAATAAGGATAAGTAGATTATGGAATTGGACTCGTGTCATTATGACAACTGATTGACTACATACGAAGAATTTGATAATGAACTGCTTTGGGTATGTATAGAAGGATCATGGTCTTCTTATGCAAAATGGTTATGTATAGAAGGATGGACGAGTTCATGTGCAGCTGGTTACGTATAGAAGGATCATGGTCTTCTTAAAGTAAGAGCTTTGGGTACTTAATTTCACTTTCACTTTCTTTTTATATCAGTCTGTTGACAGTTTATTGGAGGCTGGATTCTGGAACCTTTAGCCTTCTACTTTGTTTCTATGTTAATATTATAGTTTTTCTTTCACCTTCGTTTTCCAACATCTTAATTCAATAGTAGTTTGGGCTTAAAAACAATCCTAGCTGGGTGCTGCGGGTGTCAATTTCAGTTACTTAACAGATTTAGGGATGACTTGGAGACTAATTAGATAACTAGTTCATGGAAAGGTACAAGCTAGGTTGATGTGTGTTAGCTTTGGCATGCCAGATCTCAATCAAATTGGATTGTGATTTTAACAGGGTTGTGAGGATTTTCTAGTTCTGCTGTACTATTCCTGATGCACAAAAATATTTGAAATGTTAGAATTGGAATTTGTTTGATTACTTTCCAATTTGGCGAATCCTAATCAAGTAAAACCTTATTATATGTCATGGTGGCGATTTTAGAGGATACATATGTTCATTTTCCAATATATGTATTCAATTAGACTATATATAGGCTCATTTCCCCCATATATGTATTCAATTAGACAATTTGGGCTAGTATTCTTTATTATGATTGACTTGCATGGAGCGGAAAAAACACTTTCTTCATCCGTCCCGCATACTCACTTCTTGATCATTTCTGTCAAGGCTCAACCAAGTCTATTATGTAAGTTGTAGAGGCCTATTTAAACTTATGTATGAAAGTAGTGAAAGATGAAATTTTAAGTGGCATCCTAATTCCTAAATGATGCCTACACGTCTGCATAAAGAAGGAAGGGAGAAAGGAGAAGGAATGGCATTGAGTTAGGTTGAGGAAGTAGAATAACAGAACAAAAACACCAACAGTTATAGACCTTATAATGATTTGCAGAAGGTTAGAAAATAAGAGGGTAGAAAAGGAAGGATGAAGGAACACAAAACAGATAATTGGAAAATGAATTGTATTAGGGAGAAGGGAAAAAAATGAAAACAAAAGGGAAACTTGTTTTGTTGCTTGATCCTTGTTTTTTGTAGTGCTCCTTTATTATCGACCAAATAATGTAAGCATCAAGGGACTTGAAGTGCTGGCACTGTTTTCTTTTTTCCTATTGCAAGTTTTCTCGGAGGAATACTGTTTTCGTCCTCTCTCTTCACTTTTATCTTTTCTGATTTTTTTTTCTGTGAGCGCGCCTGTGTTGTTTTGTTCTGGGTTTTTTTTTTGGCTTTTTCCCCTAGAAGGAAACTTGTACTTGATGTTGAAATGTTTAGGGAAGAATGAGGAGGAGCAGAAGCAAATACTTAGTTTGTAGTCTGGTAAGTATGCACGAAATTAAATAAGTGTATGGTTGTCCTTGGTAACCTTTTGTTGCTGCTGTTACTCCTCCACAAATCTTTTGTCTTTAAGCTAATTAGTGAACCAGCTAATGTGGTGTAGTGAGTAGATTCTGATCGTGCTGCTGGTACAGTGGTACTCCTTTTTCACTTGGTAATCTTTTGTCTGTAAGCTAATCACTGGACTAATTATTGTGGTGTATTGAGTAGATTCTTATCGTGTTATGGGTTGTAGGAACTCGCTAGATTTGAATTATGCCAGACTGTCTGTAGGTTAAAGCAGCGTGAACTTTTTGTAAGGTCACAGTCAGTTATAATAATTTTATATAATTCTAATATTAGTTTAACACCGTGCAAATCCTTACAATTTACTGTTTATGTAACCAACTCACACATGAAAACATGTACTTATTTGATTATTGAAAAGCCAGAAATGGGGAGCTTTTGAGCAACAACTCTACAAGCAAAGTAAATCCCTGATAATGAAACTTCCCTTCAGCTGTTGACCGGTCACATTTATTGTGTTAATAATTTAACCTATTACCCATTAACTCGTACTTCCAAATATTAATCATCAACCGTCATCTGAACCCGTAACCAAGCATGCCTAAATGATGTCGCCCTCGCTTTGTGCCATGGTAGATATCCCAAGCTTAAATGCTTTATGTCGTGACATAGTTGGCAGAGGTCAAAAGCATCATTGAATGCCTTGTTGATTGCAGATCTACTGTTTTGCACAATGAGTATCACAAGGCGGTTAAAGAAGCATTTTTCAGTAAACACATTTCACCTTCAATGATGCTTCTGGCTTTAGGTGCCTTCAATTTGGCCCATATCAAATTTAAATATTTAACATAAGATATTTGTCTGGTTAGGTTTTTTTCCCCGTAGCCAATAGTTTCATATGTTGAAGTGGGAATCTGGTGTGTATTTGAACATTTAAAACTACTTACAACGACATTGATGTTATCTTGAATCGCTGAACGTCTATGCTAGTGATTTTAAGGTTTCAAAGAAGATGGTAATTGGGAATTGTGAAAAAAGTCTTTCTATTTGGAAAAGCTACAATCCGTAGTTAATTATTTTTCTCTTGTAAATGGTTTTGTCCAGGGAAAGGCATCAGATTTAATAGGCTGTGGTAAATAGTGAATTAGGAATTAGAAGAAAATATAACATCAATCTGGTAGAGTATTAAGCATATGCTTCCAAAATGACTTTCAAATTAGTCTATGACAGCTATGACATGATATAAAATTTCTATTGTAATTTTTCAATATGGCAGGAGGGATAAATATGGTTAATTTAGCTTTTCCTGTCTTTTACAATGGATATAATGTGCAGCTTTGGTTCTGATGGAGAACATGTGAGTTTGCTGATGCATGTATAATTTCTTATGTTACACAATTATTAATAATATTTGTTTTACATCATTAGGGGCTATAAGCGCTTTTTCAGACGAGCAGCACTCGAGACATCTGATTACCTCAAGGATGATTGCTTGAAAATCAATTGCACTGTTGGTGTGGTCGTGTCAGTTATGGATTGTCCCAGGTTACACGCGATACAAGTTCCTGATTCGGATATGGGAATGCATTTTGGAGCACTTCTGGAAAACCAGGAAGGCTCCGATATTGTTTTTGATGTGGTTGGAGAAAAGTTTCATGCACATAAGTTGGTATTAGCTGCAAGATCTCCTGTATTTAAAGCTTCATTCTACGATGGGGAATCCGAAGAAAAGAGTGAGATCGTTATCACAGATTTGGAACCCAAGGTTTTTAAGGTGAGATATTGTTCATTTCTTCTATGAATACCCTACTTATTTTCCTTTTATTTTCCTTTTCCATAAACTGCTTTGCTGAATGTCCTACTCAGGCAATGCTCCACTTTATATATTGGGATACCCTTGTAGAAGATGAAGTTACAGTTGCATCAGGTTCTCCTGTATCTTCTGTTTCTGAAACATTATCTGCAAAATTGTTGGCTGCAGCAGACAAGTATAGCTTGGAAAGGCTTCGAGTGATATGTGAATCTTATCTGTGCAAAGATATTTCTGTGAATACTGTAGCACATACTCTAGCATTGGCAGATCGGTATCATGCCATGGAACTTAAAGCTGCTTGTCTCAAATTTGCTGCTGAAAATCTTTCAGGTATTTAACACTTTGTCTTCCAGCAACCTTATCTCAAAATTGCTGCTGAAAATCTTTCAGGTATTTAACACTGTCTCAAAGTTTGCACTGGAGAATCTTGCTGGTGTATATATCCTGATAGTATCTAGCTTAAACTACTGAAAGTTTAGCCTACTTTAGGATAATATATGGGTTCCTTTTTTGTGATTCATGTCATGTTGAGAACTTCATGTTTCATGCTTTGACAAGACACTGTAGAGCTGCTTTTTCAAATTGTATGTATGTGATCAATGTAGCATCATGTGAGGTTTCTAATACAGTTGGCAAATGCTATCTTTTTGCTGAATTCTCTAGCATGTCAACATTTCTCACCATTGCAGCACTTCAACTTCCGGCATACTTATCTTTATTCCTTCTCTCAAATTTGTTCTTGAGCTCCTTGCTGGTGTATATGTCTTAATAGCTTCTAGCTTCTGTTTCGTACTCAAGGAGCTACTGAATGATAGCTTGCTTTGTGATAGTATATGGGCTCCTTTTTCATAATTCATGTCTTGTTGGGGTTGCATATTTCATGAGAAGAAAGATTATGGAACCACCTTTTCAAAACGTATTTATGAGATCAATGTAGCTCCATGGTGAGGTTTTCAATATGTTTGCAGATACTATCTTTTGTATCTGCAATTAACTAGCATATGCCAAAAAATTATTTATAGTGAACATGGAGACTTTTCACACCACAGTTACATGATTGTTACAGATGCTTGTGAAGTTTGCAATACGCTTGAAAAATGCTATCATTTGCCTCCCCCTTTTAGTCTTCTGTCACTAGAATCACACATTATTACTTAAAATTGGTTTAACTTAGAAACTTGACCTTTAGGGAACAATTCCTTGTCTGCACCTATTATTTTTAGTTAGACCCAAGAAATAAATGGTTTAGGTATTTTCAGAATAAATAATTTATGTCTGGGATTGAAAAAATCTTTTAAGGTGAAACATCCTGAATTCTTTATCCTGTTGTTTTTGGCCAGTTATTCATACATCTATTCTTCAACATGGCATATCTGGTTTTGATTGCCTGGTTTTCTATACTTCTGCATAGGACAATAGGCTCATGCTTGGATTTGTTTTTTTTTCTGATGTAAATTAAATAAATCTCTTACTTTTTAAATATTGTTCTGTCTTCAGTAAGCATCTCTGAAATTTCCTACAAAATGTGATGCCTTTTGAATTTGATTTATGATATCTGAAGTTATGATTGATCAAAATTAGAATTCTATGGCATCTAATTGCTGACTTTTTTTTACCGAACTCTGTGTTTAATCTGAAAATTCAAAATTTTGAATTTGTGCCAAGTTTGCTTGATCTGTTCGCATTGTGTTTATATTCTTAAAGCTGGCTGTTTGTATTTTCAGCTGTGATGCGGTCAACTGGATTCGAATACCTCAAAGAGAATTGCCCGTCACTCCAATCAGAGCTCCTGAAGATTATAGCAGGATGTGAAGAGGAGTGCAGCAGCGGTAGCAAAAGCCGGAGCGTATGGGCTCAGCTATCCGATGGCGGGGATTCAAATGGCCGGAGGGTAAGGCCGAGGACTTGAGATACAAGCAAATATATTGTACCCCCAAATAACTGATTTGTACCAATGTAGTTTCTCACTGTTAACAGAAAATGGGGGAAATAACAATTTAACTGTTGTATATTTCATCCATGTATGGATACATAATGTTGTTATGGTGTAAACTGTTGTAGGTTTGGTTGTAGCTGAGGACTTTCATGAGAGATGATATGAACTTAGGCTGTGTTGGTGACTGCTTTGATCATCGAGATGAAAAGCGTCCAATTTTACTGATTGAGGACTTGGTGCAAACACGCAAATAATTTTCTTGGTATCTTAAAAGAGTAGATGCTATTCATCGTCATTATTGTTTGGTTGCAACTCAACAACCAGTTTTTTCTTTTTTTTTTTTTTGTGCGCAACTGATAGGATGGCTTGATGAATGCTAGGTATCGAGTCATCCTATCAGTTGCTCAAAGTTCTAGGGACTATTTGGTTCGCTTCAAAAATTAATTGTAGCAGACGTTGTACGTGTTTATTATTATTATTTTTTTTGTTTTTGTTTTATTTTTGATAACCCAACTTGGAATCTTACCCGAGGAGTCGTATTGAATCTCCCAACCATTGTCATGATCATCAGCGTCACGACTGTCGGTGGTGGACGCTTGTGCTTTATTTGCTGTAGAAAGCCAACCTTAAATCTAATGTTTGGATCTCTATAATTATATTTTGAGAGTACGATGCAAATTTGATGTTTGGTTACTAATCACTTATTTAATCTGGGAGTCTGCTACAAATTTAGCGTCTAGTTGCGAAACAATTGGTAGGCGAAGGCTACTTGTACCGCATAAAGAAACATGGTTAAGATAGTTTTCACAGCTAATTAAGTCGGTTATCATACTTGAATTGAATTGTGAGTTCATGCACTTTCATAACTAGACTAGCATTGCTCCACATGCATGTGCATGCACAAGAGATGCAAAACCATTTTTGGTATTTTCGTAGGAATCACCTTTTAAATAGTGTCATCATACAGAAATTACATTTCATTTTTAATTTATACATAAATTATTTTTAAAAGTATTTTTGTACCAATAAACTGCCTCCGAGACAAAATTTTCACTAAAAAGCAAAAGGTAAGCTTATGATTTGAAGACTATTTTTTGTCTTATAGGAAACGTTAATATTTTATCATATATTAATAGGAAAAATTGTCTTTAGACCCCAAATTAAAAATCATCATGCGACTTACCATTGAATGCACTTAAACCTTTTTTTTTTCTCCAACTTTTCTTTCTTCCACTCCGTTTTTCTTTTTTTATCTCTGAAAGAGCCTTATCTTCTTCTTGTCTCCTCCTTCCTCAAATCAACATTTTCCCTCCATTCCTTCTCCTTTTTTTTCTCTCTCTCTTCCATCCTACTTCCTCCATTCTTCCTTCCTCATCACTTCATCTCCCATCCTCTTATCTTCATCTTCCTCCTCTTTGCTCATCATCTTTCCTTCTTTTCTTTTCTTCATATCAACTTTATTCTCTTCTCTCATCTCTCTTCTATCTCAACGTTGTTCCCTTGTATTTTTTCCTTTTCCCTTCCCCCCTCCTCATCCTCTCTCATTTGTCTCACCCTCATCTTCCTCATCTCGTCTCCATCCTCCTTTTCCTTCCTACTTTGTCCTATTTGCTCATTCCTCCTCTCTCCTATACCTTCTCCTATATCCCGAAATAGTTGCAGCATCACTCAAATGCCGTCACCTTTACTTAAACAAATCATCTTCTAAGGTCACGTCGAGGTTAATACTCAATTAGTAAACTTAACACCTAACAGTTAATTTTAACGCACAATGATTAAACTTATTATTGAAGCTTTAAGGTTAATAGGTAAGCTTTATGGTTAACACGTAAAGTCTAAAATGAGCTAACAATTAACATTTTTTGCTGCCGCGGCATATCCTCCTCCTCTTTTCCTCCTTCTTAACACATCTTACTCTCTCTTCTTCCACAACTGTCGCTATATCCCTCAAAGACTGTCTCCTTTTGGTTAAGACAAATATTTTTTATTGTTAGATTTTAATTCTGAGCCTTAACTTAAAATTGTGAGTATTAATTTTAAATTTTGAGAGTTAACTTTACATTTCAATTGATAACATCTTTATAATTTCTAAAATTAACACTTAAAAATTTATAATTATTAAAAGTTAACACTCAAATTTAAAATTAACACTCAAAAGTGATAGTTTTAGCCCATGGAGATGATAGGTTTTGTGGAAGGAATAGAGATGGTTGATGAAAGGAAAAATATAACGGAGGAGACAACATGACAGTGAAGAAAAACTTAATTTTTAGTTCATTTAAGATATCACTTGTTAACTTTAAAGCCTTAGTGTTAAGCTTAATTGTTAGATGTTAAATTTCAACTATTACCTGTCAACAACTTTAACTAATAGATGTTAAGTTTAATTATTGAGTGTTAACTTAATTTTCTATGTGTTAACTTCGAAACGACTTTAAGAGATGGTCCATTTAAGCAAATATGATAGGCTTCGAATGATGCAACAACAGTTATAGAAGAAAAAGGAAGAGAGATAGTTGAAAAAAAAAGAAAAAATAACAGAAGAGTGGCTGTGGCGGGCAAAATGATAATGATTAACGTGAAGAAAAGGTATGAGAATGCAATAGAAAATGTGGTGATGAAAGAAATAATGGTTGAGGAAGAGGAAGAAAAGGAAATATTTTTCATAGATTCATGAGAACATAAAAGAGAGATGTGTGGTTGAGGGTGATTGTAGTTTGAGAATAAAAAAAACTTATTTTCTCTCTCTATTGAGGTGGCATGAAAATGAGATTTTCATATGAGAAAGTGGGTCAAGGGAGGAACGTATGGAGAAAAGTTGAAGAAGGTGCAACACTAGGGTTTTTTTAAAGGGGACAACGCACAATTTTTCCTTATTTATATCATGGAAAAAAATGTGTCAATGCCCCAAAATAAACAACCTCATGTGACCCAGCCCCATGAAGTTTTTTCCATGTGCTTTAACCCCAAATGTCCGAAAATAGTGTGGCCCAACCCCAAAAGCCCATTATTATACATATATGAGTTAAATTTGAGCTGGTCTTCCGAAAATACCCTCTTCTCAACCATGAAGCCACCACGGTAACCAAAAGTAGCCAGTGGAAGAGGAGATCGTAATTAATGCGAGACAACATCAAAGATGGAGGGAAAAAGGTACGGCTTCCCTCCATTACTCCTCTAAGTCATCATATGTTCTCTATCTTATTGTTTAATCTCTCATTCTCTCATTTATGGTATTAGGGCTTTGTTCTTCAACTTTTAACAACCCCTTATGTCCTAAAAATCCCCTCAATTACTCCTCATAACTATCCTCATAACTTTCAACAATCCCATATGGTGGCCAAAGACTTGATTTGCATGGTGTCGTTAGGCGAGAATGCTATATTCTCAATGCTAAGTTCTACAACAAGCTTTTATAAATTGAAATTTGATGTGTCTGAAAGACTGAATGTACATGAAGATGATTTATCATTGATATATAAATCCGAGAGGCACCCGAATCTAAGTTTTCTAGTTGATAATAAAGTGCATGGTGGAGCATAATCGAAATATTGGTTGTATAGATATTCATATACAAGTTGTTGTTAATATAGAGGGTTTTACTTTTGAAAAAAAAAATCAGAAAGTTCTAACTGAAATGTAAGTAATCAATAAACTCTTTTTAAAATTGGGCTTTGTGTGATGTAGACTTTGTGATTTTAGGTTTCAAGGCACAGACGAATTATAATTGTTAACTTTAATGGTTACATGTTAACTCTTTTAGTCGTTTGTTAAGTTTTACAGCTATCAATTAGCTTTCACTAGAACATGTTATCCTTTAGGGTTTCTGTTGACTATCACAGTAACATGTTAACTTGTAAGTGACTATGCTAATTTTTATTCTAGTCTGTTAACTTTTGCCACTGTACGTTAACTTTCACTGATCTATGTTAAGTTTTAACAAAACTTGTGAACTTTCCTTCTAGTCAGTTAATGTTCATATTTACCTATTAACTTACAAAAGAAGCTGTTAATTTAAAATAGCAGAAGAAAATATTATAGTTGAATTTGATATCTCACTGGTTCATTAATTTTGTGCAACAGTAATACCTCTTTGAATGCAGAATATAGTCATCATTCTTCAGGAAATACTTCTAATTTAGAGAGGATCCTAAATGATTGCCTATCTGGTGAGAATGTAATGAGATCTGATGATATTCTCAACAACACTTCCATCATTCCTCAATGGTGGCTCACAACATTAACTGAAAGGGCCAACAACTTGAAAGTGTAAATGAATTATGACTAACTTTGTAATATTATTCTATTGCAAAAAAGTTTGATTATGAATTTGCAAGGAATGAACCCAAACGTATCCGAGTTTATTGTCGACATACAAAAACATATGGATGCCCTTGGATGATGTTTGCCTCTCCTATTAAAAATGAGAAAAGAATTAAAATCAAGAGGTTTATGAATGAACACAGTTGTGGCAACATACTAACTTGTCAGGAGGATCACGGGTATCTCGCAAATTCATAGCAGCCCAATTGCAACCTGTGTTAAAGGTTCGACCTGAAATCTACCCAACTAATGTGCAAAAGGAGTTTCTCACACAGTATAGATTTAGAATTGAATATAGTAAGATATAGTGGGGTAAAGAAAGAGCACAAGAGGAGTTGTATGGTGATAGTTATGAGTCTTACGATCAACTAAGATGGTAAACTTTACAGATTTGTTATTAAATATATAAATTTTTTTAGTAGACACTTATAGTACAATATTAGTTGTGCAATATTTTGCTTTCAATATACTATAATCGATATTGATAGAAACGCGTGGCAGAAGAGAGGGCTTCCCTTTAGAGAAGCCCGAACTGAGTACTCCTCTTTGAAAGGTTTGGTTTGGTGAATCAGGAGGATATGTGTGACTGTCACCCTCCATGCTATGAGTTGTACTACTCAGCCTTTCCCTTATTAGTAGCCGAAGTGTAGGCTGGGATACTCTCTACATATATTAACCTTACACACTGGGTGTTATGTTTCATTGATATATGTTAACTTTCATAGTTGGATGTTATGTTTTATTGATATATGTTAACTTTCACAGTTAGATATTAACTTTACAAAATTATTTCATATTTTCTCCAATGTATTATATTTACCTGGAATGTGATGACATTGACGTATAGGTATGAACACATGGTAAAGGAAATAAATCCAAGAAGCTACATTTGCATTGAACAGAATGAAGGAAGGTTCACAAGACTATTTATATGTTATGTTTCTAGCATCATTGGTTTCTTACATGGATGTTGACCTCTATTATTTTTGGATGAGACCTTTTAAAAAAAAAAGATACAAAGACATGCCCCTCAGTGACTATTCGTATGTTATGCTTCTTGAATCATTGGTTTCTTACATGGATGTAGACCCCTATTATTTTTAGATGGGACCTTTTTGAAAAACAAATACAAAGGCATGCTCCTCAGCGCCATAGCATATGAC